TTGCATGTTGCTGTGATGCTGAACAGGTTTCAGCAGAGCTTCCAGGCTAAGATAGACTAGGAAGAAAGGCCTGGCGATCTACTTCTGAAAATGTCATTGAAAATCCTATGGATCACAATAGTCTAATCCACAGCTGGTCATGGGCATGGCAGAGGACCAGGCAGCATTTTGTTCTGTTTTGCATAGGGTCACCATGAGTCAGGGGCTGACTTGACAAATGATAACAACAATAATCCAGTCTAAGGAAGGAAACAATAGTGACATCTGATGTGGAAATTGAAGGGTGAGTAGGAGTCACAGATGCAAGGACCCATGAATGAGAGTAAGCATGGGAGCAGTGCCAGGAACTGAAACACATTACATGTACCTAGGGATGGGGGCCGGCTTGAGAGAGATTGGGAAAGCAATCAGATAAGAAACGTCTTGAAACCACATTAAGGATTTTTGTACTCTATCCTGAGGGTGGTTTGAAGCCATTGAAACAGTTTAGTACAGGAACTGCTAAAAATCCAATTTGCACTGCAGTGTGGAGAATGGCTAGGAGCAGAGCAAGACTGGAGTCAGGAGTCCAGCTGGGAGGCTTTTGCAGTAGGCCAGCCAGGATATCATAATAGCGGGCAGGACCAAAGGTACTAAAGTGTATGCACAACAGAACTTGGTGATATGTTGAGTGTGGTGCAAAGAGACAATTCAAGAATGGGCCCAAGGCAGGAGGGGACAGGAAAGCTAGTAAAAGGGAACCCAAGGGTGAGAAAGGGAGAGCGTTGAAATGTCATAGGGTTGGCAACCCATGTCACAAAACAATATGTGTACTAATGGTTTAATGAGAAGCTAGTTTGTTCTGTAAACCTTCATCTAAAGTACAACTTAAAAAAAAAGAATGGGGCCAAGGTTTCTGTCTTAGGCAACTGGTGGTGACACCATGACCTGAATAGGTTGCACAAAGGAAAGTAGGCTTTTGGGAGAAGATAGTGGTGTTCGGTTTGGGATGTGTTAGGTTTGAGGTGACTGTGAGACATTCGAGTTTGAGCTGGACAGTCTATTTTTTAAGTACAGGCGAGAGATCTAAGCCATAGGTAGAGATTTGTGGGTGAGCCCTATCTAGATAATTGTTGTTGTTAGGTGCTGTGGAGTCGGTTCCAACTCATAGCGATCCTGTGCACCACAGAACGAAACACTGCCTGGTCCTGTGCCTTCCTCACAATTGTTATGCTTGAGCTCATTGTTGCAGCCACTGTGTCAGTCCGTCTCACTGAGGGTCTTCTGCTTCACCACACATGATGTCCTTCTCCAGGGAATGGTCCCCCCATAGTATGTGAGATGAAGTCTCGCCACCCATATTTTAAGCTTAGAAAGTCTTTATGTAAAGCTTTATTCAGACACTTAATAATCACTTCTTGGTTTTATTGTTGTTGTTAATATTGACTCTTTAACCCTTCTGAAATTTATATTAATTTATCTTACTATACCCTCTGAAAAAAAGCTAACCAAGTTTTACAGCACTGTTTTCTGAATAATTTTCTCATCCCAAATTAATATTTTATGCCCATGCAGTCTTCAGTAATTTCTGTGAAACAAGTAATGTATCTCCATTTCTTAAATTAGCACATTGAGATGAATGGCAATTTATTAATGATCAGTTACTTTGGCTTACATTTCAATACTGCAGTTCAAAATGTTAGCTGAGACAAACATATATTATGATATTATTATGATGAAATTTGTATACTGACTTACATTTAATTTGATAATTATGATAAAGATTTTCTTCCATGAAGCTCATAGGATAGGAAATTGTACAGATCACTAGAAAGGACAAAAAAACCAAAGCATTTAAAGAAATTTGAAAATTGAAATGAAGAAAGGAGACTTTGTTAATAATCAATGTTAATAATAAAAGCAGCCACTTTACAAGCATTATCTGGTGTAATTCTTACAATCCTAACCCAAAAGGATTGGGGTATTATTCACTCCATTTTACAGCTGAGGAAACTGAGACTCAGAAATTCCTTCTGAAAGTCTGATATCTGGGAAGGGCAGAAACAGGACTAACACCAGGCTTGTTTACCACTAGACCTGCTACACTTGGGGCCGTGAAGATAGTCTTAGGGTTCCTTCTCTTTTACAAGGCATCTGTGCATTATCCAAGGGTGAGAGTCACAGTGCACCACTCTGACATTTATAGTATAAAAAAGTAGGGCTGGGCTTAAGAACTACATCTCTAAATGTTTCTAGACAAGGAGCACATTTAAATTATCTCCCATGCAAGACGGCTTGGGAAAGTGGAAGGGTGAAGAATGTTCCTTTTTAGTGTGGGAACCTAAGTGCTAAGGGATCACCACGTTGTGGGTCAGAAGGTAAGCGCCTCTTATCTGGTCAAGCCCCCTTAGCTTGGCTAAATGCACTTGAGCTCATACTTTCTCAAATGTCCTTTCTCTGCAAGTTCACATGGTAATTTCAGAACAATTCTTCTGCCGAAACTTGCATTTTCAGGATGTGTTGGTTTATTTTTGAAGCCTGCGTGGTCCGATTTGGAGCCAGCTTCTCTACAGAGACAAGTGGTGGTTTGTTCCCCACTCGGGGCCTGTACCCTTCAGTTTACCAGCTTTGCAACTCTCTCGGCTGATCCTTTCTCAAGTCCCCCAGGAGCCACTTTTGTGGCAGATTCCATTTGGTTTCACAGGCCCTTGAGGAGGGGCGGTGAGGGCCACTTGGCATGGCCCACAAATCTCCCACATTTGGAGCAATTTGCAAACTGCTCTCTGAGGGAGCCTGTGCCCAGCCCCGAACAGGCTGCTCCTGTTACCGCCATTGTCTGCGGGGATCAGTTCGCCTTTTCCCAGATGACCTGCCTGCTAGTGGAGAGATGTGAAAAGTTAGAGACAAAAATGGTTTCTACAGAGTGAGAGGGAGCTTTCTTGTACAGAAAGGAAGGAAATACCTCTGTGGGATTTTATTTTCTTCCCCCTCTTCATCCAAAAAATACAAAGAGACTCTCTGTCTTTAATGCGAATGTCGGCTTTAAATCTTTTAGGTTTGGATTAACTCTGCAAAAGAAAAAAAAATCTGACAGGCTTTCAGATATGACACAGAAAAACTTTTTTCCCGTCAATTCATGTTGTTCATTTGTAAAGCCAAGGCTGAGTGGACTGAATAGTGGGCGCCAGTTGTTCGTCCATTTATAGTTAGCATCACAATGGTCAGAATTAGCAGCCTTGAGTCTCCAACCAACACTTTCGCCTTTTCCACCAGCGGACATTTAATACAAGGTGGCAATGGCAAGAATAAATCTTTCTTCTCTTGCCCCTAAATTAAAATATATTAAAATTAAGCCAAGTAAACGTGATGTTTTTCTATTACGTGACTTAGAATCTTATCTTACCTTTTCCCCCTGGAAAGAAAAAGAAATGTGGTTTTTTACAGTTATTACCTTACTAGAAAACTTCCTTGAATCGAAACAAAACCCAGTGACTTGAAAGACATTTCCTATTACATAGTTATTGTTGGTTTTCACTATTGAGAATGTCAGGAAACATGTCAAAGATCATGTTTTGCTTATAAAATAAAGTGACTTTTATGTGAATGTTTTTCGTCTAGAATTTGGGTGCTAGTCCGTTGAATCCACGTGGCAAAATTTATTTTCTGAAATTCTTTTAATGGCATGTTTTTGTTTTAAAGGCAAGTGTTCAGTGCTATTTCATCCTGTATAGGGGAAAAGCTTAGCATCCTTGAACCAACGATCAATAAACCCATGTTAATGTAGGAAAAATTTAAACAGCAGTTTCTGTTCCTCAGTTGAGAGTCCAAATGAATCAATAATATGAAAAATAGTTTGAAATTAATAATCTTTTATTTGATGAGGATTGGTTCATTAGGACTGCTTATGTGTAATTATGAAACTGCCTGTAAGATTATAAGAATCTAGATCATTTTTAATTCCTGAACCATACCTGGTTTAAAAAAAAAAAAAAATTAGCCTATAGTAGCTTATAGGTTGTAAATGTACATGCGCTAGTTGAATACTTTTTAAAGAAGTTCCAGCAATGTGTTTATAGATTTAAATAGATACTGTAAATTTACTTTTGATAAACAAATAGACTCAAAGAAGTGAAACAAGTTATTTCTTTCAGTTTTATTGAATGACATTCTTCCTTTCAAAGTCTAATTTCATTACAAAGGGATTTTTTATTGTAATTGCAAACAGCTAATATAATTTATTAATTTATTAATCATAGAATCATTTTCTTTGCAGCCGGAAGGGCTCTGATATAACAATGTGGGATTTAACATGAAAGAAGGATTAAAGTTCTTTTTAATACACTCTTATTTGGATTTTACATACTATCTATTTGCTTCAACTTTAACAATGATAGGTATGCACTGATACAAGTTACATAAGTCATTGAACAAAAATTAAAATTATTCCTACCTAATATTGGCCAAAAATATTCAAATTGTTGTTTTCAGAGATATCTTATTTTGATTATATTACATTCATGAGTTATCTGAATGATTTTTAATATCATGTAATATTTTACAAAAGTAAAACTTCCATTTGCCAGGAAAAGTACGTTTAGTTTCTAAATAGAATTTATTTTACATGTTGTAGTGTAAGGGAATCTAATCCAGATTATATTCGAAATTGGCTCAAAAACATTAACTATAATAGAAGGTCAGGGTTTATTATTCCACGTATTAACCACAATAATAAAAATTTCTCTTAAAGATATGAAAAGATTTGGCACATGATAAAACTTTTCCATATTAGCTACTGTAACACAAAGATATAGTAACTGCATGTTTTAACACATTAACACTTTTAATTCCAAATATTTCACAAGTTTGAATTCAGTTATTGTATACCCTCTTGCAGAATGATATTCTTTATTTTACTTGATTTTTAAGTTATAAATACCTTTAATTAAAATCATATAAATATTAAATGTGAATGGTGTATTTCCTGGATTTTAAAGTAATATTGTTTCTGATGATTTATATAGGCAGCCATGTTGTTTAGCTCCGGCGTCTTTTGGATGGGCCTGTTATTTATCCCTGTGGCATCTTTGCTTCTTGATGTGGTATACAAGGTGTAAGTATAATGCTTGGCTATGTACATAAGAAAATAGATACATATTAATCCTCAGATTTCTCTAGTTGTAACTTCAACTTAAGAATGTAGAGTTAGCAGAATAGGAATAATAATATTCTGATGTTAATTAATATTAATTCTAAATGAATTCATTAATAAAGAAGAAAGAATGATTGAGGAACTAGAAGACTACATTAATTTAAAAGACCGAATAAGAGGTAAAGCAGGTAGTTTCAGTTTAACATCAGGAAGAAGTGCATTGGAGAGAATTACATTAGAGTATGTTTTTTAGAAATCTTAAAATGTAGAAGAAAGAATTCTATTATCTCTAAACACATAATTTTTTTTTTTTTTAGCTAATGATAGCTGTGAACAGAAAGTTTTTGCTTGCCTAATTCTAAACATATATAAAGTATAGAATGGAAGAAAGTAAAACTTGACTAACTTTTCTCAAGTATTACAAGTTTTAAAATGTTAGCTCTTCCCACAGCAACGTATTACTGAAATTAATTATGCAGTAAAACCCGCAAAAGCCAGAACCTATGTAAGGCAGAAACCTGTTAGAGAAGGAAAACTCAAATATTTACTACTAATAGTGATAGAAAAGTGGTAAGACTGTACCCTGTCGAAGGCGGAAAACTTGTGAGACCCAGAAAAACAAGGCAGTCTCGTTGAGTTCCAGCTCTCACAGGTTTCACTGTATATGTTTATTTAGTATTTATAAGAGGTTTACTATTGTAAACCTCAACCATTTATTTTATGACCATTAATTCTATGATTCTTAGTGCTCAAAATGACTGTAATTTTTTTTTATTTATTCTATTGAAAAACTGTTCCTTGTACTCTAGTTACTGTTATACTTAACAACAGCATGATAGTAAACCACATACTAGTTTTGTAAAGTCTTCAGTTTTTACAGGGGTATTTCCACGCAAATCCTTTCTTTGCAGTATCAAGAGGACTGCTTTTAAAACATTAGTAGATGAAGTTCAGGAGCTGGAGGCAAAATCTCAAGACCCAGGAGCAGTTGTGCTTGGAAAAAGGTAAAATATGCCCTGAATGTGTTCTTTTAAAGTCAATTTTAGATTTGTCTTTTATTCTTTTACTAGTGATTGGAAATAAGTGGTAAAACTGGAAGTTAGCCTTAACATGAAGCTGGCAGTGTCATTTACAGATTTTGTAATCAGAGATGTGGATTAAAATCAAATCTGTCATTTACTAACTGTCTTAGTCATCTAGTGATGCCATAACAGAAATACCACAAGTGGATGGTTTTAATGAAAAGAAATTTATTTCCTCACAGTCAAAGTAGGCTAAAAGTCCAAATTCAGGGCGTCAGCTCCAGGGGAAGCCTTTTTCTCTCTCTGTCGGCCTTCTCATCAATGTTCCCCCGGACTAGGAGCTTCTCAGCACAGGGACCCCAGTCCAAAGGACA